TGTAAATATATATATATATATATATATATACAATGTGATTATAATTCATTACAAAATTCTAATAATATAGTATTACTTTATATATCTGTTTATTATTGTATTATTAAACAGAAATGCTCAAAAGATTGGAATAAATACATTTTTTAATGTGCATATTATTAGCATATTAGAATGATTTCTGAAGGATCATGTGACACTAAAGACTGGAGTAATGCTGAAAATTCAACTTGAATCACAGGAATAAATTACATTTTAAAATATTTTAAAATAGAAGACTGTTCTTTTAAATTGTAATAATATTTTACTATATTACTATTTTCATTTTTGATCAGGTAAATGCAGGTTTGGTGAGCATAAGAGACTTTTAAAAATCCCTCAATTATTCCAAATGTTTGACCAGTAGTGTATATATAAAGAGATGCATAACTAAAATGTTTATTACATTTTAGATTATATTGTACGACAATTTTATATTAGATATCGGCTAAATAAATAAATATAAAGTAAACCTAAATAACTCTGAGTTGAAAAAAACATTTCAAATATAAACATTGTAAATAATATTTACTCTGCCCAGGACAAGATGTCTAGGAGTGTGTTTGCATTTGATGATGCTGGTATGGATTTTGGGACTGATCTAACAGACCTGGAGTCATTTGGGGAGTCTTACAAGCCCAGTAAGAAAGTGAAGGAACAGAATGAACCAAAAACAGCTTCTACAAATCCAACCGCATCTCCATCTCAATTTACCCCAAGCCCCAAGAACCCGACAGACTCTTTAGGTACAACAAAACACACCTCGACATCTCAAGACGCTCCCACAGAACCCCTTGAGTTGACCGTGGCTAAGGTCAAAGGAGAGACCGACTCTTTGGCTGGAGGAGGAAACGGTACGCTGAATGAAAGTGCCATTTCAGAGAAGGAAAGTGTGATTGAAGATTCAAAAGAGAAGATAGAAACGTCTTCTGCTCAGTGTCCTCCCACCAAGCGGCCCAGACATATGATGGAAGATAAGACGGACCAGGATTTGGATTCTGATGAAGAACGACTAGTCATAGATGACATTCTCTCCCCACAGAGACCTCAGACCCAGGTGACACCAGCAGAGGTGTCCTCCCCCCAAGCACCCGACCCAGTCACGCCAGGACCCACAATCCCTCTGGGCAAAGGAACAAAGAAAGGCATCAAAAGACCCAGAATATCCGGCGAGTGCGATCAGCTCGGACAGATTTTGCGGATGCAGGACGCCATGCTGAAATCCACTCCCAGCAAGAACCAGGAGCCTGTGAAGCCACATGTCCCAGAAGACAAACCTCCAGAAGCTAAAACCCATTCACTGGTCAAGCAGTGTGTGACCTCATATCTGGAGTCCAGAGAGGGACAGGGAGAGGACGCCACACTGCCTGCTGACGTTCCTGTGCTGCTAGCCACTCAAAGAAAACGTTAGTGCTCAAAACACCCTCTCAGAGGCAAAGGCTACATTTAGTGTGGCCACAGTCATGGTCAGGTTATATTTTTGTTAAGTTATTCAAATGTACTTTTAATTATGGCCCATATCAGATACTCATTGAACAGGTGATGCTCTAAAACCTAGCCATATCCATAAACTTCTAGAAATTACGAAATGGAGGCAATGGAAATACACCTGATGTGTGAGGAAGTCCATTTTACTATATTGTAAGTCTATCAAAATAAATGTCAATTCTTTAAATATATTTTAATAATTATTTACATTATTATTTCAATTTTAGGTTTAAATACTATTTAAAATATTCAAATAATACTTAAATGTATTTAATAATTAAAAATACATTAATTTTTTTCAGTAACTGTAACAAAAGTCTTTGTATGATCATATTTAATTATCATTGAAGCACAAAAAGTGTCACCAATATATCACCAAGAAATATCACCAAGATTAATGAGATGCCCTTCTCCCCAAAAAAAAAAATGAAAAGAAAAGAAAAGAAAAGAAAAGGGAAAAAAAGCTATTT